CTTACTGTTTGTTTTGTATATACGCACAAAGCTCGTGTATTCTTATTCACAGACAGTGGTGACAAATTGTTGACTGATTTTGAAAAATTTACAAGCATATAATTATACTCTTTCTACCATCATAAATCAAAATTGATTTTATAATACGATATTAACAATATTTAATGTTTTGAATTTTAATGAACTTTTAACCTACAATATTGAACATCATACATACTCTAGATCCATCTGAATGTACTAAAGACATTGACTTACTGTATTGTGGGTTTTTAACAAATTGTAACAATCCATCAGTTGGTTTCGCACCACCACAACAACCATCACCTTTTAATTGAACCACAAAATCAGTTCTATTTACCGTAAAATATGGTAACCATCCAAATTCTGTCCATGTTGTCTGTAAATGTATGAGCATATCAACCTATGAAACTTATAACGCAACACACACTGAGTTCAGAACAGCCAATAAAAGGTCAACTGTATTGTTGTCGATTTCGATTGCTACTGCTGGTGAAAGCCGACCACAAGATCCAATACTACAGTCTGAAAAATCGTCGGTCATTTTTACAGTGTCAACGTCACAAAAACTTTGCTAGTATCTGAATTTTGTAAATGCGGGGATTGAATTGGATTCAGAACAATACAAGGAATGATACAAGAAGAGTGCCCAAGGATGTCAAGGTATTAGACAGAGTTGTGGAAATGATCGTCAGTGTGCCAAGGTCGTCGTAATCTAGCGAGTGATCCTAAATGCCACCAGTATCATATTCTGTTGAGGTGTTGAATATATGTAAATACTCTTCAGAACTACTAGAAATGTAAGAAAACCGTACAATTCTCTTAAAAATACTATTTTTATTACGTCTTTTCTCTAAATCATAGAGTAACTTAAAATGACGGGTCGTCATTTCGACATTCAACGCGGATAATTTTAGACAAACATGAATTTGAAGACTTAGATTTCGACGGTGATCTGTGAAAATTATTACAGATTGGCTTAGCTAAAAAAAAATCTGTTTCTGAGATTAAGGTACGATTGGTCAATTTTATTTTTTAATTGTTGAAATAGTTACATAAAAATTTTCTATAATAAGTGCATTGAAAAAAAGCCGAGGAAGTCGTAATCGAAGTAAAGGGGAAAAAGGCGAGAAAAAAAGCGTGAAAATGGCAAGACGACAAAGCGGGGAAAAAGGCGAGAAAGCGAGAAGGTGATAAGCAAATACTCGACTCGATTTTGATCACAACCAGTTTATAATGTATATATTACTATTTCAGGTAGTAAGCGCGTTAATCATTTCTTTTCATTTTCGGTTTGGTAACATGATAACTGGTTACTGGTAGATTTAATTCTATAAACCAAGTAAATTACATTGTGGATCTATTGTACCAGTGGGAATCGCTGAAAAACAGAGACAATAAAAATAACTATAAAATAATTACAATTATCCTCAATAGATAAAACTGTTTTCCGATAAGGATTAACAACGACCTATCGTCCAGGGCCCGTATGCATAAAATACATATTAATTATATCACGTGATTTTCAATTATGGTACGGCCATTCAACACACTTCCACTTACTGTTTGTTTTGTATATACGCACAAAGCTCGTGTATTCTTATTCACAGACAGTGGTGACAAATTGTTGACTGATTTTGAAAAATTTACAAGCATATAATTATACTCTTTCTACCATCATAAATCAAAATTGATTTTATAATACGATATTAACAATATTTAATGTTTTGAATATTAATGAACTTTTAACCTACAATATTGAACATCATACATACTCTAGATCCATCTGAATGTACTAAAGACATTGACTTACTGTATTGTGGGTTTTTAACAAATTGTAACAATCCATCAGTTGGTTTCGCACCACCACAACAACCATCACCTTTTAATTGAACCACAAAATCAGTTCTATTTACCGTAAAATATGGTAACCATCCAAATTCTGTCCATGTTGTCTGTAAATGTATGAGCATATCAATCTATGAAACTTATAACGCAACACACACTGAGTTCAGAACAGCCAATAAAAGGTCAACTGTATTGTTGTCGATTTCGATTGCTACTGCTGGTGAAAGCCGACCACAAGATCCAATACTACAGTCTGAAAAATCGTCGGTCATTTTTACAGTGTCAACGTCACAAAAACTTTGCTAGTATCTGAATTTTGTAAATGCGGGGATTGAATTGGATTCAGAACAACACAAGGAATGATACAAGAAGAGTGCCCAAGGATGTCAAGGTATTAGACAGAGTTGTGGAAATGATCGTCAGTGTGCCAAGGTCGTCGTAATCTAGCGAGTGATCCTAAATGCCACCAGTAACATATTCTGTATGTCGCATGATCTGCCTTAGACCACCATAACTAAGTAAACTCAAGATGAACTTTAAAAGTGAAATTAATCAAAAAATATATGGCAAATAAGACAGAAATATCTGTCTCTATTCCAGCTTCTGATAGCAATTTGGACAGACGTCAATTGGTGTAGAGACAGAAATAATAAGCCCTGTTAAATGGGGACATTCTGCATCTCCGCAGTTTTGGAGGTTTTAAACCTATTTTGATATATCGCATCTGCAAACCCAGGTATATTTGGAAAGAAGATTATTTTTGTACTTCATCCATGCCATCATTTTCTCCTTACACCATTTATGCCATGTTTCCGGTTCCATCCGTTTTAATTTTGGCAAAACTGATCTAGCATCTAGGTGCGCAGCCAAAGGTGCAAAGGTCACATGATACTAACAAACCGCACACTTATTTACAAGTTAATTCGATATTATGTTAGAGTAAACGCATCTTTGGAGATGTGGAAAATCCCCATTTAACAGGCTCTTTTCCTTCTGACTCTACTCCAGTTGACAACTTTCAAAATATCCATCAGAGGCTGAAATAGAGGCAAATATGTCCGACTAATGGCGAATTCGACCCTTATCCATCCTAAATA